AGCCCATGCTGTGGCTCAAACTTGTGGTGATGCTCCTGCCTCAGCCTCCCAGTGCTGGGATTATGGGTGTGTATCACTATACCCAGTTTTTTAACGGGTTCTTAATTCTGAAGAGAGAGTTATTATCAGGCTCTATAACCCTGCATTCTATGACACAGAAATCTTAAAGATGAGGATGGGTTGGCCGTAGGTACAAGTGTCCATCCATCCACTATTTACCCCTCAGGACCTGATTCTTACGTATTTCAGTGTTTGGTAACCTGGCCTTTGACTCAAAGGTGTTAATGTTTAATCTGCTTTCTGCTGAACCAGTGATAACTGGCTCCAAGAACTCCCTTGCTGTGGTGTCTTTCGCTCTGACATGGCTGCTGTCTTTTGACTTTGCAGTCACGCAGACCTGTTTTTGAATCCTGGTTCTGCCACGTACTAGTTAAATGCCTGGAGCTTAAATTGTTGCAGCCTTTCATTTTAAATCTGTGAAATGAGGGATGAATATAGGACCAATCTCATGCGGTGGCTTGAAAATTGACCAAGCTAAAGTATGTAAAGATTTGCATAGTCCTTTGTACATAGTAAAACTGTGGACAGTATAGTTGTTATTTTTTCCCTTTTTCCTTTCTCCTGCCTATGAGGGTTTCTGGAGGTGTGCGTGTGTGTGTGTGTGTGTGTGTGTGTGTGAGATTGGAGATTGAACCCAGGACCTTCACATGAGCCTCATCAGAGTCCTTTATTTAATTTTTTTAAATTTTGAGACAGAATCTCACTAAATTTCCCAAGCTGGACTTTAACTTGCAGCAGTCCTGCCTCAGCCTCCCAGAGGGCTGGGATTCCAGGTGTGTACCACCATACCTCATCTGGCACATTCTTCGATGGTGCACAAAGCACCTTGCTCCTGGCTTCTCATCGGAGCTCATCATGTTCATTTTGACTGAAACTGACATTGCAGATGAAATATTCCCCTGCTCATTGTCTGTCTACCCCTGCATCTGTTTGTCCTTCTAAATTCCTCGTTTTTAGCAGGGCATCTCCGTTCATCCCTGGTCTGAAGTTTCCAAGTTGCATTCTCAACTCCTGTATCTAATTAGCATTAAGCCACCTATCCTTTTTCTACCTTTTTTTTTCTTTTACTTTGTAGCTCCAATTTCTCTATATCTCTGGTTGAAGCTTCAAAATGACCATTCCCAATCGAGCATAAAAAGTGCACTGTAATGTTTTTCTCTAGGTGAACTACTCAGTTTCTTTATAATCGCATTTTCATTCTAAGTGTATTCTACAGTGTGTTACTATGCCCATTTATTTTTGAAGCTGGTTTAGTTTATTTATTTATTTATTTATTGGAATCTCAGTGCAGTGTTTATGAGTACCTGTTTGCAGGACATAATGAAGGCTACACTTTCAGGGATCATTTCTATCTTATGCAGTACATAATGCTCGCATTTCTTTGGTGAAGTTCGTACATGCGCATAACACATCTTCATGCCTGTTTTTGACCCCCTTTCCCTCCCGTCCTGCTCTTATCCACTTCCCACTGTAGAAAGATCTATCTCCCTACTTCCTAATACTTGTTAGTTTACTCTTCATGCATACTTTTGTTTTCTCATATAAGAAAAACTAGATATTCAAGTTGGAGCCTCTGATTTATTTCCTTCACATTATGGTATGAAAATGCGTCCATTTTCCTACCTACGACTCAAGTTTCTTTCTCTTTACACGGCTTACCTTTTCTTTCATCACTCATCATTCCTGGGACTGGGCAGAAGCTGCTGGTCCCGCCCTACTTGGTCTCTCGCTGCTGTCTGCCTTTGAGATGCTGGTTTTCTCCCTTGAGCTTTAGCTCACAGTGCTCAACACAGGACAGATCACCTTTAAATTAGCCTTTCATTATTTACTGACTTGCAGTACTCTCTAACTCTTTGAAACATCCATGTCTTTTCTGTTCAGTGAAGTTGTAAACTCCTTGAAGACAAAAAACAAATCAGAAACTGCTCAGCATTACTGTCCTAGTCCAAACTCAATGCACGATGAAAGCTTTCCAATGGAACAACTAGATGCGCTCTATCCCTTCCTGGTTAAGAATGGATAAGAACCTCTGATTGCCCATTAAGTCGGGTCCTCATACTGGCATTCCAGGTGGTGCACTGTCAGATGGCTACATCTTACCAGCTCTTGCCTTTAGCTCTTTCCTGACAGGGGCCCTTTCTTTGGTATGACCTCTTTACAGTCAGTGTACACACGCACACACACATGCATACACACAGATGGGTATTGAAATGATAATCTTTCCGTAGCAGTTTTGCCTAAGACTCCAAGACATGAAGTATTTACCAGTTCTAATTGCATTGAAAAATTGTAGAGACAGAGTACTGATAACAAATGCATAAAAAAAAGTAGGAAAAACTTGTGTTGAGATCATGTGCTCAGCAATAGTAGGTTGAGGTTGAGTCAGACTGGGAAAACAGGAAGTATATGGTTTTGCAGAAAGTCACTGAGGTGCAGAAGCATTGCTTCCTTCTAATGGTAGAGGGTGACTGGCACTTTAAGAGAACTCTTCAGCGGGCTTCACTTATAGACCTTTGCCTTCAAGGGGAAAGATAGGATTGATGCATATGTAATTCATAGGGAGAAATTTAAAGGAGCAAGTCTGTGGCTGGAGATGCTTGTCTGGTGGCAAAGGAGAGAAAGGTGATTAAATTGGAGTCAAGAATGTTATCATTGATGATGGGACATTCTTAATGGGCCATTTCTTGGCCAAACTGGACTGCCAGCTAGGACCTATTTTACATGAAAATGGTCTAAATGAAAATGAGCAGGGATAAGATCCTCTTGGCAGAAGAAGGTGGAGGAGCTCTGGTGGACACAGAAGTTTCTTTGGAGAGTGAGGGTTGAGTTATGTGGAATCAATCTGAAGAGAAGCATTGTCCTTGTCAAGAGAGGCAGGTATTCCAAGTTGGGGGAATTTCTGTAGAACTCACAACATCTCCTATGGCAGGAAGAGCCCAAGGTAGAAGACATCTATCCACATGAGGCCATGTGGCAACTAGGCAAGACTTTTGCTTCCATTTTCTTCTACCTCATCAAAACCCAGAGCAGTCTGGGGCAGGTGTGGGAGAGGCAGAGAAAATAAGGTGGGAAAATAGCAAAGCTCGCTGAGACATTTTTCTCGTAGCCACCAGTGTCCAACAATTCTGTGTAATTTTGGCACCAGCTACCTGCGGTTGGTGTCAGATTCCACAGGTTGTGACAGTTGGTGTCAGATCACATAGGGTTTAGACTCAGTCCCATGAGACTGACCTACTCTGTATGCTACATGCCAATAGGTTTGTCCAGGTTACCTGTGTTTCTGCCAGACCTGCTATAAATTGGGGTTCCCACAAGTTCCTCTTTGGGTTGATTATTTGTTAAAATGACTCATTGAACTCAAAAAGGTTATTTACCTATTGGTTCATTGGATTCTTATAAAGAATACATAACTCAGGGACAGTCACACATAAGAGAACTATAAATCTATCCATCATGGCAGGTGTGTGTGTGTGTGTGTGTGTGTGTGTGTGTGTGTGTGTGCTGAAAATTCCAACTCTTTAATCAAGATGTGTTCTTTCTGGTTAAAAGAGGCTTCCTATGAATACCCCGAAATTCTCCTATTACACTGAAAATCCTGAAAATGTTAGTCACTCTCTACCAGAATTCCATGAACAAAGATTGAATATATATACACATTATACCCCACCCACAAAATTTTCTTTTGCATTGGAGCCTTCTAGGTTGAGGCATCTCTGGAATATAAGAAAGAAAAACTTGCTACTTGGAATAAAGTTTGTAGTTCCAATTACCCAGTCAACATGGACATTTTTATTACTGAAATTACATCTTTCTTATGTCTGGAATGACTGGAGGACTTCATAACATTAAAAAAGAACTAGAAAAAAGTGTAGCCCCTGTCAGGAATGGAAAGGAAAAGTTCTATGGAATGGCTTTGTGGTCAGGAGAAAGAGAAAGAATGAAGCTGTTTTTGTCTGTGCCATACCACTCTTTCAAGATAGGCGTCTCATTTGCTGATGCTGTGCAGGCAGGGAGGTATGAAAGTCCACATCAGTGGGTATGGGTGTTGTGTCCTCTACAGACCTTTCAATTTCCTAGAACTGAGGGCCAAACTCTGCTCTTCTAAGAGATCTTTCCTGACTAGCCCCAGTCTACATAGTTCTCCTTGGGATTTGTATAGCTCCTATTTTTTAAACCACAATCTAACCTGTAAATATACAGACGGACCATGTATCTCCATTGGTCTTTTTTTATGTGTCTATTTTTGCCTCTCATCCTCATGGTAAACCTCTCACCAGAAACCAGCATGTTTTACTTTCAGAGTATTTCTTACATATCTTCATACTTATGATCTAAGAAGTCTAGTTGCTGGATTGGTCAGATAGGTGCAAACTTTATTGCTAGTTCAAAGATGGGTTAAGTGGTTATGTATCCAGTTCAGTTTGGTCTAAAATCTAAAGTGTAACCTTGCTGTCTCCTGTGGGAAATGCTGGAACTCTTGACTCCAACTTTCTTGTTTTGTTTTGTTTTTTGATTAGCCAATGAACTATTGAATGGATGTCCTATGAATTATCTAAATACTATGTCATCTTTTATTTGTTGATAAATCCTTCAGGGTCTTACCTGCTTAGTTATCACTTCATCTACACTGACCCTGGGTGGTACGGGAAGCTAGTTTGGTGTTATTAACTTGCTCCTCCTCCCTGGTGGCTAGCAGCGTATTTGAATACTCAAAGGCTTGAGACTTCTCAGAAACACTTCAGTGCTCCTGGGGGCCTAACCCAGGCTGTTCTCAAACCCCTGGGCTCAAGGGATCCTCCCACCTCAGCCTCCTGAGTCACTAAGACTATAGGTGCGTGCTGCTCCACTTGGCCATGGTCTATGAGTTCTTGCGATGTCTGTGAACAAAATGCATGAATCAGATGTGTGCACTGAATAGATGAAAATGTACTTTTCTGCAGGTGATAAAGGCTTGCCATTCCTATCCCAAAGCAATTGAGGTTGTGGTCAATGCCTACGAACACATCAGGTGGAACACAAAGTGGAGAAGAGCTATCCCTGATGATGACTTGGAGGTAAATACACAGTCTAGTCATTATGGTTTTACTTATCAAGTACCGTTAGACAGCTATGCAAGTACTGAACTTTCTAACTTAAAATATTGGACCTGGGAATTCTTCTAAAGCTTTTTCAAACATAATGAGACAAGGGGTTATAAAAAGCAGTCATGAGAGTGCATAATTCTATCATAGACATGGTATTAGGGAGTCAGTCTCCCAAGGGATTGTTCTATTTAAGGGCAAGATGAATAAATATGGTAGCTTTACTTTCTTTTCAGTGATTTAGATGAATTAAATGATAATACTTGAGATTGCTTGTGTAGCGTTTTTACCAGGAAGTTATACTATTTTATGTATATATTATTTCACTCACTTTTAAACATCTTACAGTGGTTATTAGAGGCAGAAAACAAAACAAGAATCACATAGACAGTCACGGCCAAAGCCACATCTTCTTGTGGACTCCAGACTTTGCTGCCTCTGTAGCCCAGTTCTTCCTACCAAGCATTCTGTTTTGGGTTTTAAAGTCAAAGTCTGTCTCCAACACACGGGGGAGGGATCAGAGTCTAAAGTTCCTCGGGCTTAGAGGCCGATGGTTAGGTATGCATTCCTATTCTGCTACTTATTAGCTAGCTTTCCTTTAAAAGTTATTTAATGTGACTGATTTTCATTCATCCCCTACTTCCATTAAATATTGGAATACATTTGTCATATGGGACACATAGAGGTCATTAGTGTAATCTAAACTAGCCATTTTGGGTTTAATGGGTCTAGGAATTTCATACGAATATAATTTATATTTTTTCCTGAGTTCTGAATTGTGCAGTATTGTTTTTTCTCCCCTCACCTTCTATACCATCTCCTCACCCCTCCTTCTCAATTTCATGCTTAATTCTGTCTCTCTTCAGAAACCCTAGAAAACTGTCCTTCTGGGTAGGGTGAGGATTAAGTGCACCATGGTTGTTATCATTAATGTACATGGTGATGCCTACCTACTACTGACCTGTCTTGCCTTTCTTTTCAGAGGTACTGGGATTTTTACCAATCTCTCTTCAGCGTGTGCTGTAATTCTCCAAGGACCCTCATGCATTTATCGAGATGTGCCATTCGTAAAGTGCTACACAACAGATGCCACAGAGCAATTCCTTTGCTTTCCCTCCCATTGTCATTGAAAAAGTACTTGCTTTTAGAGCCAGAGGGAATCATTTATTAAGCCTTATGAGACAGCAGTTTCCAGTCCTAGATATTTAAGTGGACTCGCTGGGTAGACACAGTTTGCATAAATAAAATGGTACTTGGGTTGATTATAACACTTCAGGGATTTCAAAACACTTTACAAACACTATGTCATTAATCCTGGAGTATCCTCGGTGAGAGGAAATAAACAGGTAAAGGTAAGGAATTTTCACAGCCGAGAATGTATTCAGAAGGTACGATATTACAGTAAAAGCTAACCTAGACTGTACTCTTACAAGATGCTGATGTATTTTGTTTAACTTTGCATATATTATCTCATCTGAAAGGGGACCCAATTTTTCATACAACCAGTCTCATTCTCTGTCTTATCAGTAATAAGTTTACATTATTGTTCAGTTTGTAATATAGCAAGTTTTATGATCAGCTTCTTAAAGTTGGTGTCTTCCCCCATAATTATTTAGCAGTAATTAACTATCGCTAGTTTTGTGAAGTCCTACTCCCCAAATCAAGCTCCTCAACTTGTTTTAGTGAAGCGTACACATACATATAGTCCAAGCAAGATCTCTGAGTCAAGTTAGAAATGAAGAAAGACCAATCCACTTAATAGTTAGGAATGGACACTTCACCACACGCATTCATTGAGCGAGAAACTGGAGATATGGAAAAGAGTCCAACATGGTTCCTGCCCTCCAGAATCTCCCCCTTTAGCAGGGGATCTGGACATCAGAGCAGGTGATTGCAATGCAGATGACAGGGTAAGGGTACAGTCTGAAGCTCACAGTGCCTACCTTCCAAAGTTGTGCTTCTGACATGAAGCGTGTGATTTTTCTTTGAAGAATGAAAATACAGAATGAAATGATTGTAAAGAACAGAGGGATCTCCTGTGAATGTTAAAATAAATCTATTTAATTTTTAAATTTAGCTTCTCCAAAGTTCTAGACATTGTTTTTTATTTTTTTCTGGTGCCAGGAATCAAACTCAGGACCCTGCGCTTGGCAGTCAGGAGCTTGTGCTGCTGAGCTATATCTCCAGTCCTAAGACATTGTTTTATTATAGGATGCTTTCTTATTATCTCCCCAAACTCTTTAAGAAAAATATTATACACTGGATGCCTCCCATGTGTATGACCAGGGAATTTTAGAAAATGTATAAAAAGAAAGTGAAGGAACTTAGTTAATTAGGTTGATCTTTTTATGTAACTGACTGACATTTGTGAGTGTTTTAGCTGGAAGATAAGAAGCACTTTATGGGGATCACTGGCCTCAGAAAGTAAACCAAAAGACTTTAGTGAAAGTGGTAAATGTTTGAGAGACTTAGAAAGATAGATGTGTTACTCAGACATGCTAGGGAGTGGTTTGCAGAGAGAGAGAGAGAGAGAGAGAGAGAGAGAGAGAGAGAGAGAGATGTGGTTGATTCACTTCTGAGCCTCATTATTTATGAGGCCACTATTTCACTTTTCTGTTTTTGTTAATCAGTTTTAGGTGATTTTAGGTGCTTCTGGCATCATCTTTTAGAGGCTAAAGCAGAAGTAATTATAAGTGCAAACAAGTCTATTTGCCACGGGTGGACAGGTTTCTTTTGTTTGTGTGCCCTTCCATCTTACCTAACTTCCTGTGCTTGAGTGTTGGATAGAGATGATGTCAAACAGCCCACTCAGCTACCGCTAGGCTGAACCAAACTGTGATTCTCTTACTCCAAGCCCTGAATAGGAAAAACCATGGGTGGCTGCGGTTATCTTTCTGAAGTATCAGTTTTGTTCAACTAATTCGGGGAAAACATTTGGTACAAAAGCAAGATCTTTCTTGTGGAAGAGGATGTTGAATTTGCAAAAATCATTCATGTAAAATGTGACTCCTTAAAAAGTGATTTATTTTTAGCAAGTAATATTAGGGCACATCCTAGGATATATTGAAAGATTGTTAGTTTCCCTCCATCCTTGGAGTATTCTGGCAGAGAAACTTGTGATATACGGACTTAGGACAAGTACACTGATACTGAGGGCAAGAGGGGACAGCCTTCCTCACATGGGGAAATAAAAATGTTTCTCATTCGACTTGCTTGTGTTTAAACATTTGTGTTAATCTAGCATAGAATATGTGACTGCTTCTTTTGAAGAGTCTCTGGACTTACCATTTTCAAACTTTTATTTAGAGAACATAAATAAAGCTCTTCTGTTTCCTTCCGTCTTTGTCAGTAGTTTATTTACCAATAAGCCTGCTTTCCCAAAGGAGCATTGACTTTTTCTCAAAGACACTGAAGAACTCTACAGGTTTCATTGCTTTATTCAGCATTTAAAAGGGAGAAGAGAACACTGAATCGTGTCTGTAAAGAAATAATGTATTCAAAAAGAAAGCAAAGGGGAAATGTGACTGAACACAAAGGTTAGTGCTAGAGGAACAAGTGTTTTAATGATAATAATAAAAAAATTGTACAGAGTCATTTTCTTCTACTTCTCGCCACCTCTGTCATCCTGAAGTTTTTCAATTTCCTGTATTCTCACTGTCCACTCAACGCTGGGCAAAACAGCAGAGAAAATTATATCCTCATGATGTCTTTGTCGCCTTCTGGGAGAACTTTCTGTAAATGGACGACTAATGTCCTGAGGAAAAAGCAGTTTTCTTCTGCAAGTTGAATCAGAAGTAGAATTGCTGGTATGAAGAAAAGACCACACAACCAGCTTCTCCCACTTTTCCTAGACACGCTTATGTTCTGCCTTTCATTGCCTACTGCTGATCTCTAACGTATTCTTCCAGTTTTGAACTTAGTAGGTTCTGATAAAAAAACACAAACAAAACAGTAACAAACAGTAACAAACCCTTGCAACAGATTGTCCATGTTGGAAAAGATGTCTGAGCCTTACATTTTTATTACTTCTCTCCCCGATGGTGAAGAAGAACTCACAAAGTTCTAAGCTGATAGACACTTGAAAAACTTTAAAAAATTCTAACCATTTGCTCATTTTCTTTGAAGCGCAGACACCATAGGTAGTACCTGGCAGGAATTCCTCCTCACCTTCTGAAAGCCCATGCATTACAGTTGTATGCTCTAACTTTCAGCACTAGCCCCTCCCTGTCTGGGTCAGACCCTCATTTGACCGTTATCTAGGGAAAATGATGCATGCAGGTCATGCTTTTGTTTCCTTATTTGTAAAATTGGAGTAATGGTGGTGCCTACTTTTTTTTTTTAGTGGTGCCTCCTTTATAGAACTTTTACAGGACTGTTTTGAAGGTTAAAGTGTTAATAGATTAGAGCACCCAGAACAACAGATCACACAGTAAACATCTGGTTATCACTGCTATCTTTATTATGACCTTAACAGCCCTTACTCATAGATAAGTGTCTACCAGTGGGGTAATCTATCCTTTGAGTGACACTATCCTTGTAGGAGATATGTGGAAGGTTTCTGTTCATTTTGGGAGGTCCAGAAGGTTCCAGGCACTTTGATAATAGCTGGCAATCACTGAACAGGATTGGAAGGGAAAACCAGATCCTTGACCTTCTTGGGCTGTTTTTGAGGAGAGGAATAAGAATGGCAATAACATTGATGTGGAGGATGAGTTAACAAGCAAATGAACTGATTTTTTGAAACTGCACTTATGTAAGTGAGTTTTTCATGGAGGCAGTGGCTCTTTTTCCTATTTCCTGAAGGATGTGGGGTCACTTGACAATGGACGATATGGACAGATATTGACTCCTTCTTGCAATGGGGGAAGGAGTAGGAGCAGATAGACAATGCTGTGGGAGGTATGTCGATGAGCGGTGAGTTTCCTCCCAGTGAACTTTAATTGCACAGTAGAATGAATGAGTATGGGACTGGAGAATTTCATTCCTTTATTCAACTTTCCTGCACATGCAGTTCTGGGTTAGATGAAGAAAGAAAACTAGAATGTTGTCTCCAAGTCATCAGAAGATTCACTTTTTTATTTTTAGTTTTTTACTAAGAAGAATAAAAAGTACACAGCACTTCTTTTAATTAGATACTATCTAAACTGAGCTATTTTTCCTGTCAACATGACATGAAATGGTTGATTAGAAATGATTTTCAAAACCTATATTTCAGTGCAAATTTGCCTTTTTCATGTTTGGCCACACCCGCCACCCATGGGAAGCAATGCATGAAATATGCAAATCTATATTCCAGAAAGCAGTTGCTTTTTTTCTTTCTCTCTCTTTTTTTGCAACCCTAAGTGGCTTAGGTGTGTTTAAATTTCTTCTTTACTAATTGGTTTTCTCAGATAGAGGTATGCCTCAATGATACTGAATAACAACTCTGCACATGCATGCTAATCCAGCAAAGGAAATAAAATAGTGATGGGACTTTGAACTTTCTAAATGAAAGACAGCCCTGGATTAGTTTTTAGTGCTTACCCAGTAGGAAAGAACGGGACAAAATGGAACTCTCATTGTGGGACGCATAAGGCAACCCACAAGTAGAAGTTCCAGTATCTCAGATACTGCACTCAGGGACACAAAATAAGGCAGGCACTCTGTGCTTTAATCCGGACTGGTGGGAATCTGAATGACAGTGTTTGATCATCTGTCAATGGAAATGATCATCTATCTGATGGAAGAAACAAGATACACAAACCTCACGCATGTGCACTGTATATGTAGTTAGTGCCCAGTAAAGGTCGGTGTATGTGTGTGTGTGTGTGTGTTGGTGCACGCACACCCGCATGCAATATAATACTGGAGGACATAGCAGAGTTCCTAAGGTATTTATGTGTACAGGCTAAAGGGCCAACTTTTATTTTTCACTGCATTTTAACGACAATAATTTTCCGATGCTACCACTCACACTTAGAAGCGAACTGCTCCAAACTGACGCGTTAATGTTTCCCTACTTGCAGCAGGGTGGGCTGAAGCAGGCGCTGGGAGGGGACTTTCCCCTTCTGTGAGTCTGCGCCACGCAGAGACCGGCACCTCTCATTTCCAAAAGGCAGCTCTGAAGAAAATTCAAGCTGGAAGCTCAAGAAAAACAAACAGATATTCTCCAGCGAATTACTTTAATCTTTAGTTTATGGTTTCAGGCAAATCTATTCTGCCATTCCCTGAGATGAAATGTGGGTATAAGGAAGAGCTTTTAGAAAGAAGGATTTCTATCCTGGTTACATAATCTGGAAGGAAAAATGAGAATATTGCTTGTTAGTTTTTCTCTGAGTACTTCTGAAATAATTTCATTTGTAATTCCATTCATTAATTTTCCTTCCCTCCCTCCCTC